GTAAAATCAGGCTATAAGGTATGATTTTTATAAAGTCATAATTTGAAAGCATAATTTTAGGGTAGAAGTCATATACACAACTTCAAAAATGAAGTCCACTTTAGACTCCAAATTGTATTTCCATAACACGGTTTCATAAAAAAATTTGAATTCATAGAACAAGTTTAAAACTATTTGAATTTAGCAAATTTGTTTTCAAAATGGTAAATGATATTGATTTAATAAAAATCTTGAAAAATCTAATATTTTCTTAAATATTTTTTTATACTTGAGAATTACTTAAATATTCTATATGTGCTGTACCAATGCACCAGTTGGCTTTGCGGATTATTATAAATTTATTTCTATCAGGCGATGGAGAGCCAGTTGGCTTTACTTAGGACTAGTTTGACACTTTGACCACATGTGTTTCCAAACGATTTCATTGTTTAATCAGTAATAGTGCAATGTGTATAGTGCAACAACAATTGTACTAGCAAGTTCCTATTTATTATTATTTTTATTTTTTGTAATAGAGTGTTTGGATCAATTTACGTACATCTCGATTAATTTTAAAATTTATACAAAGGTCCTCTTCTATGTGGATCAAATAAATATCAAGCAGAATTTATGGACGTGACCTCAAACAATTGATTTTCTTTTTTATTCAACTGAAATAAAACATAATAGGGGCATTTATATACAAGTCTCATTTTGTGAACTTATAATTCATTAAGTCCTAAATAAAATTATTTGCTCCTTCAAGTCCCATTAATTTTCAATAGTCCAATTTATCCTTCCAAGACCTCTTTCTCTCTCAGTTCTTTCTTTCGAATGTTCAAATGTAGTAGCAGTGAGTGAGAGACTGATTACAGAGACACATTCACACAAATCTAATCCAAATTCTTTATCTTTGTATATGTAGTAGTTACGGAGTGAGTGATTATTGTTGTTGTTGTTGTTGTAGTAGAGCATCGATGTCGACAACGACCTACAGTCCTTCGTGAAGCCCTCTGAGTTCGAGGTTCTTGTTGAGTGGTGCTTCTAGGTTGAGATCTTCGTCCTTGAAGAAGCCTCCAGCGCCTCTCCGTCACGTCGTCGCCGACTGTCTCTCATCCTCTGCCCCCTCCTTCGGTGCCTCTGAGGCTTGTAGGACTCTTCGGGTTTATCTCGGGCTTATTTGAGAATGACAACGATCGGAATCCAAATCTGGATCCATTTCAGATCGCCCGTGAAATCTACTCAAGTTCCACCCAATTGAATCAAGAAGTACGCAGATCACACCAGGGCTTCGAATCGAACCCCAAATTGCAACCTTCCAAGTCAAAAAGTTCACCAGATTTGAAATTGTAACCCTATGCACTCGACTACATTGTTCTTCTGAATTCTAATTTGAAATTGAGAACATTCTTAGTTTATAATATTCTCAATTATAATCATGAAAAAAATTGAGAAATTTCTCAAAATTGATAATTATAAATTTCTTAGTTTTGATAATATTCTTGATTCATACTAAAAAAAAATTGAGAAATTTCTTAGTTTTGATAATTATAAATTGAGAACATTCTCAGTTTTGGGATTAAAGGGCAAAACGTCTTTTTACGTATAAATGAGACTTAATGGTTCAAAAACTTTTTAACAGGACCTAAGCTATCACTAAATATGTAGATAGGACTTTTTGGTAATTAATCCAACATAATACAAGGTCAAACTTACAATTTGATTTGGTGGGTCTTTAAGAACTATTAGCCCTGTTTGGTAAAATTTATAAACAGCTTATTTCAGCTTTTAACTTAATTTAAGCTAAAAACATGTGTTTGACTTAGCTTATTTCACCAATTTATTGCTTAAATAAAGCTAATTTTCAACTTATTTAGAAAGTGGGTCTGGGTATTGTTAAGTTTATAGCTTAAACGCGCAGCTACATATTGGGTGCTAAAATGACTTAAATGCCCCTCCTAATCTCCATTATTTATGAAAATGCCACCATATATACACCACATCTCAACACTGCTCACGAACCAAAGAGAGACATAGACGATTTCCGGCGATGTCTGGCGATTTTCGACGATGTGTCCCTTGCTCCGGTGATGAAACAGAGATCTCTCTCTGCTCTCTCTCTCTCTGCGCTACATCCATGGCGTTAGTCGATCTCAGGTTCGTCGCCATTGCGATCGCGAAGCTTTGTCTGTCTCTCTCTCTCCGACGTTGGTTCGTCGCCATCGCGATCTGAACCAACGTCGTCATCGATCTGAACCAACGCCGTCACGATCTGAACCAATGCCGTCGTCGATCTAAACCGTCGCCGGTCATCGTCCCTGTGCTTTTCAAACCCTAGAAAAAAATTTGAAAAAAAATTGAAAAAAATAAAAAATCAATATTAATATTAATTAAAAAAGAAAAAATAAATTTTCAGAATTAATAAAAATAGAATTAATATTTAATATGAAAAAAATTAAAAAAATTACTTTTCAGAATTAATATTTACTAAAAATGAAATATTACTAAAAATAATTAAAATGAAAAATAATAAAGAATAATAATAATATGAAAAATAATAATAATAATAATTGATGGACAAAATGATACTAATTTTAATATTTAACACAATTTATTTCAATTAATATTTACTTTTCATAATAATAAAGAAAAGAAATACAGAGAAAGAAGATACGAAACAAATTAATAATTTTGATAATGAATATATGAAAGATAATATGTAATGAAATCACAACATTAATATAAATTAGAACATGAATATTAATTTTAATGAATTAATAAATTAAAAAAAATTAACAAAGAAAGAAGAGAAGAAAAAAAAATTAAAAAAGAAAAGAAAATAAGGTGAAAAAGAAAAGAAAAGAAAAGAAAAGAAAATAAAATGAAAAAGAAAAAAATGTATTATAAATGAAATCACAAATTTTATATCTTATAAAGGCAAAAATGACAATTATACAGAAAAAGCTATTTTATAGTTTATTTACCAAACACTACTCTGCTGCTTAAATCCATAATCTCACAGCTGCATCAAACAGGTTACCAGCTTATGTTTACAGCTACAAGTTATAATCTATAATCATTTTCTCACAGTTCTACAAAACGGGGCCATTAAGTGGCCTTGATTGGTTACACCCACGGCAGCTAGGCCATCAATTATTTTAATTAGTTTTTTGTTTTTTTTTAATAAAAAAATATGCAAAAAAAATAAAATAGTGATGTTATAATTTGTAATAACTTTTTAACTATTTTAACTTGTTAACAAACGAGGCCTAAGAATATTAGTAAATATTATTGTTTAATTTTGTTTTAAGAATTCTTCATTCTTTTTCACTAATTCATGATCCGTCATTGCTAACTTTAATATTAAGAGTAAATTACAAATATATTTAAAATTACTTAAAATACATGTGTTTGGTTTGAGTTTTTTGGATTAAGTTTTCTGAAAATTGAGTTTTTTTATTTTCGTATTTTTTTGTTTTAGTGAATATTTTTAAAATTTTAAACATTTTTTTTTTACTTTTTTAGATGCACTTTACTTAGATGTATCTAAAAAGTAAAAAATTTGTGAAAAAATATTTTAAAAAATTAATAAATACATAAAAATATAAAAAATGTACTAAATTCTCATTTTTTTTTTGTACTTTTGGTATTTAGTGAACTTTTAAAAGGTTTTTTTTCACAAATTTTTTACTTTTTAAGTGTATTTATGTTAAGTATATCTAAAAAGTTAAAAAAAAAATTACTTAAAATATTAAAAAATTCAGTAAAAATAAAAAAATACAAAAAATAAGAAAGTATAATTTTCTGATAAGTGTTTTTTGAATAACGAAACCAAGCAAATACTTCTTGTCATAATTTGTCCTTTAACAAAATTGACAAAAAATATAAAATTTTTAACTATCTTCCGATACAACAATTAAATGATCACAACTGTTAATTGAAAATATTACTAAAAGTTATTAATTGAATTAATAATTAAATATGCAGTTAGAATTTTCAAGGAGCATGTCTTGGCTTTTTTGACCTTTCAAAAGTTAACATATGAGAAGATGGTTTATGGCTAAAATAATCACAAAAGATAAAATAGATTATTTTAATCACAACAAATAAAATATCACATTCAACCCATAATTATTACACTCTTCTCTCACAAAAAAAGTCAAAAAAGTCAAAAAGCTAAAAAGTCCTTCCCAAACTAAGCTTTTTAGCTCAAGATAAAATAATAAAAAAAATCAAAAAGTCAAAAACGCTAACCCACTTCCCAAACCAAGAGTGACTGTGAAATATTCTTTTTTTATCTTAAATTTTAATTCTGGTACTTGACATCTTTACATATTTTCAAGAATTTTTTTACAAATTTCTTAATATTAAATAATACTCATAGAACACTTATTAGCATTTGTTAAAAAAAGAAATTGGCCTATTTTTTAACCGGTAGTATTACATGTATCAATTAGTCTACTAACTAGTGTACCAACATTAATTATGACATTATTATTGGCCCCACTCATTAATCACATTACAAATACCAAAAATCTCTTAAATTATGTCACATTTTCAATTGGTACACTAATTAGTGCATATAGAGCTCGTTTGGAAAGTGGGTTGGCTTTTTGACTATTTTAGCTTGGGACTAAAAAGTTTGGTTTGGGAAAGACTTTTGACTTTTTTAACTTTTTGGTGAGAGAAAGAATGTGATAATTATAAATTTGATGTGATATTTTATTTTATTAAGCTAAAAAGTCTATTTTATTTTTTATAACTATTTCAACCAAAAAAAAAAAAAACCTTAGAACTAACTTGCCAAACGGAGACATGTATTATTCTTTTTTAACTTTGGTAAGTTGTTTGGAGATGCTCTTACATCCAGTGATAAAATTTACACACGGGCTCTCTATATGGTGGGCCTTAAAGCGCTGTTTCGTATTACGTGGACAAAGCTGAAACTAGCAAACAAGGTTTTTGGGCTAGGCCCAAAAACCAAAACGTTTGGGCCTCAAAGAGTCCTCCTTTAGTCTCTCTGTCTCTCTCTCTGTCACTGTCTCTCTCTCTCCCCTCCTCCTCTCCTCCAAGCCCTAATTACCAGTCAGTCGCCGACTATACCAACTCTGAGAGCTTCGTTTCAAACATTCAGGTTCAAAATCACACGTACAGAGTCTAAAGTAACTGTGACCTCTATGGCTTTAGACACTTTGACAGACCCAATGGACTTGAAGGTGAAAGAGCTCTTGAAGGAGGTCCAGCTTCACTACTCTCCTTCATTCACTAAGCTCGTCGATGATACTGTCTCTGCCATCAAAGAATCCATTGATAAAATCCCTGAAGACTTGCAGGTTTTTTTTTTCCCCCCATAAACCCTAAACCTTCGATTGTTCACCGAAAAATTCAAAATCTGAACTCGAATTAGCTTAAATGCACCAATTGTTGCTTAGTTGTTGACTGGAGTTATCAAAGTTTTGTTTTTGTGTATATATTTTTTAAAGTAAATTACAGCTTAGTCCTGTTTAGGTGAAGTTTCACTTTAATACTTGTAGTTCAATTTGAACATTTTGTACCGATGTATAAAATTGCAACAAAACTGAAAGTATGTTGTTTCAATTGTTTAAATTGAAACTACATGGACTAGAGTGACATTTGGCTCAAATTATAGGGACTAAACTGACAATGCAATTCACAATCTAATTGGTGTGTCAACATTTGGTAGGTTATGTAGTTCAATTTGAACATTTGTACCGATGTATAAAATTGCAACAAAACTGAAAGTATGTTGTTTCAATTGTTTAAATTGAAACTACATGGACTAGAGTGACATTTGGCTCAAATTATAGGGACTAAACTGACAATGCAATTCACAATCTAATTGGTGTGTCAACATTTGGTAGGTTACGGCGGATGTTGCACCGGGTTTTATCAGAGACATTGGTGCGGACAAGGTTGAATTCAATTTCAGGAAGCCAAAATCCATTGAAATTGGAGGTAGTTATTCAATGCATTGCATTGCTACGCCAGACGTAAATGTTGATCTCTTTGTCCGAATGCCAAAGGTACACTTCACTTTTATTGGCTTGAATTTCAGCTCTGTAACCTGACATAGAGAAATGTCAATTATTCATTTTTCACTGGTAGATAAATATAGCAATACAATTTCCCGATATGTTCTGCACTGGATATGTTTAGTTGAATGGATAATGTCGAAACAATGACATGATGAAAATATCAAAGCTTAGATGTATATTGAAATTTTGTGTCTGAAGTTTGTGTTCTAAATTTTGTCTAAAAAAATAAAATAAGTGAAGCTTCTTAGAAATGCAGTGAAGGAAAAGCTTTCCTTATCCAAAATAAGTTTGAAAAAACAGAGCTATAATGCAAACGTTGAACTAACTTTCCTTATCCAAAACATTTTGTTAAATTGGAAATAACGGTTGGGATCAGTCAGTTTTGGTTTTAAAATTTCAGAAACTATAGTGGAACCGAAAACCGAAAATACTTAAATATTAAAACTGAACTGATTTAATCATGCTAAAAAACTGACCAAAACTGAAAATTTTAGTTGGTTACAGTCGGTTTAATCAGATTCTCTTACACCCCTACTAGGAACCAATCCTAACACTCATGCTGCTTCAACTACTAAGATCGCCAAGACCTAACAAAGTCTCTCGAGAATATAAAGGATTACAATGGACTTTATGATGCTTTCTTGGATTTCCAATGTGTGCTGTTTGCAGCTCTATGTGACCCTATCATGTAAGTATAGATACTAGTGTATATAGCAATAGGAAATCTTAAGTGAACAAGAAAACCAGAATCCCATTAATTTTGGTCTGTATACACCAAGGATTTTGTGTCAATATTAACATGTTTTCAACGATAGCCCATTGTGTTCAAACTTTGAATGTAGGACAGAGCAATTACGAAGGGATTTTGAACTTTTTCTAACCTTAGAAAGGGAATCTCCGAATTTACATGTGGGTCGTGTCGTGGAATATGGAAAGTGGTCCCAGGAAGCAATTTTTTCAGTAGTTGTTGAGAGTGTAGGGTTGAAGGTTGTCACAACTGAGGGATGGCATCTTCATGAATACCCATCAAAGTGTTATACATCAAAATAACTGGCACCCTTGGGAAAAATGGAATATGTGAAGGAGAGTGAATTTGGAATTTTTTTAAAAAAATTTTGGGTAACGGACATGATGACACAAATAGGTTTCATGGTGCCAGATTGATTGCACAAACTGGGCACATAAACTGCCATGTGGCAGTTATCCAAACCATGTTAACATCTTTAAGTTTTTTTTTTTTTTTTTGGTGAATATCATCTTAAAGTTTTTTTTTGAGTGAATAGCATCTTTAAGTTTATACATTGTAATTGGGTTCCATATTTAAAATTCTCATATATTCTCTGCTTATGGCAGGAGTTGTTCCATGAAAAGGATTATTTAAATTACCGTTACCATGCAAAAAGATGCCTTTACCTTTGCATAATCAAGAAGTATCTCAAACTTTCTTCTGTAGCTCAAAAGGTTGAATGGTCTACCTTTCAAAATGAGGCTCGGAAACCTATATTGGTTGTCCATCCAGGTCTGTAACTCTGCAGCACTATGTAGCTTTTATTGTAATGTATTGAGTTGAAAATTTTGCTTACAGGCCACTTATCCTTATTCTTATTCCTATGTTGCAACTGAAAGGAAATTTCTCATTGCTACTGCAGATTTGAAGGTGGTTGAATCTCCTATTTTTGTGGTGAGAATAATTCCCACAGCTACATCTGTATTTAATGTTTCAAAGTTGAACATGGAGCGAAACAATGTTCGTGCTCTGAATCAAGGTAGTATGTAGCCACCAATTTTGGTACATTGCTGTTTTTGAGCTCCATGGTGATGTAACTAACAGTATTTTCTGAATTTTTACAAGGGGGTGTTCTTCAAGCTACACCTAAGTACAATAGTAGTATACTAGAGGACTTGTTTCTAGAGGATAATGCAGAATTTGTCAGAAGAACTTTCCTTGGATGGATAGAACTAGGAGAGGCTTTGATTTTGCTGAAAGTATGTATTCCCAATACCTTTGCAATTTTAAATTTTGGTGCAATAGGTCCTAGTGTTTAGATGGAAAATTAGTTTTTGTTGTTGATGGTGTAGGTCTGGGCTCGGCAGAGAAGTTCAATATATGCCCATGATTGCTTAAGTGGTTTCCTAATTTCTGTCATAATGGTATACCTTACAACAAAATCTGGTGGGAAACGCATTAATAATTCAATGAACACAATGCAGATATTTCGTGTCACAATGGACTTCATTGGTATGTGTAGTTTTTCCCTCTTCCCTTTACTGTTCAGAAGTTAGTTGCATATTTTTCATTGAAAAAAACTGGAAAACCAAATGATTTATTTTCCCTGTAAATGCATATCTTGTAGGATTTGCAATGAAACTATTTTTTTGTCTCGTTTTTCAATTGACGGCTAGCTCTGTTGTGTACAAGAATTCATAACCATTTAGCAAATGGTATGCTTGTGAATTAACGAAAGTCCTTTTTTGTTTCTGTTTGCTTGTTTTTTTGCAGCCACTTCAAAATTATGGGAAACTGGGCTCTTCTTCCAGCCTCAAGGTGAGAGCAATACTTTGAAGGTATGTTTCTTCACGACCTTTATGATACTGATGTATATAATATATATATATATTTACATTTCCGGGTTGGGGGGATGCGGAGCAAGTTATGGGCCATGGTTCAAATTGGGTTTAGTTTCCTTATTTTCATTTTACAATTGAGTGCTGATGAGGAATCTCTTAATTCACACACTCACACACACACATGGAAGAAAATCAATTGCAATAGCAGGGTCAACAATCATGAAGTTTATACCAATAAATATACATCTCAGCCAATTAGCCTCAATAATATTGCCAACCGCTGGACTTGAACTACGTCTTCATCAGAATACATAGAGATTAAATATTTTATCTTCCTTAAGCCCAGAAATTTATCTTTTCTAAACTTTTGATTTGCAGGAAAGGAGGACATCTTTACAATCATTTCCATTAATCATATGCGATCCATTTGCTGGCTTTAATTTGACATTTCGCATGACAAGGAGTGGTTTTCTCGGGGTACTATTGCAATCATATTAACCTTTGGTTTATATGACTTTAGATATAGACATAAATCCATGTTTGTCTCCAATTTTTGAGGTAGTGCACTAATCTAAATATTATATTTCTTCTCTCATAATTCCAGCTGCAAGATGAAGCTGCTCTGACACTTAGTTGCATCAATAAATGTAGAGATGGTGGATTTGATGAGGTTTTTATGACTAAGATTGACTTTCCTGCTAAATATGACTACTGCATAAGGTATTGTTTTTTCGGATAATTTTTTTTTTTTTTGATAAATTAGTTTCTTCGGATAATACTTGCAATGCTTGTCAGTTACTGCTCCAGGATTTACCTTTATTTTTAAAATTTGATTAGCTAAAATGAAAATATTGTGCTTCTGAAAGATTTTGCAACTATCATTCTTGAACTCCCCTTCGAATTCTTGTGTCGACCAAGGAAATTAATTTGGTCCAGTTATGAACTGAACTCTTCCTTGATGCATCATTTGACTCAGCTATATCTTTCACCAAACATAACATTAATGTATTCATGTTGATTTCACGTATGGGTTGATGTGTGAGATCCATCAAAGATCTGTCATCGATGTCATCCTATTTTGGAATACTCATCTTGGTTTCTCAGATACATTGGAGTGATTCTGATAGACCAAACTTTTGGATTCCATTAGTTTTAGTAGTTTTGAACATTTGCAGTTTATCAGTTAGTAATATATTAAAACTGAGCCTGACATTTCCTGTTTTATCGAGTAGAAAGGGTGAATTACTAATCTTGGTTGGATGGTTGAAGAAGATTGGGTCATGTTTGATATGTCTGATATGTGATATAAAGGGCATATCACTTACGATGGTTAAATGTCCATAAGATGATTAAGAGGATTTGAAATTTAGTGCTCTAATCAAGACACGATTGGTTCCTGTACTGCTTTTTCATATTTTCCCTTTCTTCCTGAACTGGAGCAGACAGTATATGTGAATCTTATCATCTTGACAAAAAGACTGCAAAATTGAGAGTATTTGCATCATGGGAGATGTCTCTAGAGCTAGAATGTCAAGATTATCTTGTTTGGAACTTTCGTTACGGCACTCTGTTGTTGTAGACTACAGACTATAAAGCTGCTAGTACTAATATAGAATTCAGTAATTTGTTGTTTTATAAACTGGATACAACATTGAATATTTAAATTCCTCTTTTTTTTTTAACATTTATAATTTAAATATGAAAATGAATATGAATATTTGGCTTTTGGTGGGTCTTCACATTAGTTCTTGCTTGGTTGGCTCCTAAATTCCTGAAACTCAGCCAAACTGCCACCTTTGGAAGTAATATTTACCCAATATTGAAGTGCATGTATAAGTGCTGTCATAACATGCTATACCAATTAAGCAAGTGTTAGTTGTTAGCTTGAGCTGCAGTGAGGATGCAGTTGTGTCCATTGTACTTGTTAGAAAAAAACAGAAAGGGATAATTACACCGTAGTGGAATTTAGGGGGAAAAAATACATATATCAAAAAGTTTACAATTTTCATTATTAATATTTATAAAGTTTCTTACCGATTTGTAATTATTTTTTCAAAACCCCACTGATGTGATATTTCCCCAAAAAGAAAAAAGAAAATCACATTTGAGTAAGATGAGGAACTTCCTTTGGAAATGTTTAACCTATTGGACTTCGCCAACTCTATCTGCGAGATTGCTACACATGCACCTTTGCTCAAATAGGAGCAAAGTCTTTAAAGGTAAATGAGTAATGCAAGGCCTTTTACCCTTGGTTGTTGTAAGTTTCAAGGCATCGATTTTTTAATTTTTATATTTTGTAAATAAATAAAATATTGCAAAATATTGCAAAATTATTAAAAATTAATATTTTTTTTCTCTAAGGCATCAAATATTTACTGCAGAGAAGGATAATTGCCCCATTGAAGGTGAAATCAAGATTCTTAGCTTCAGTTATTGAGCTTTTCACTTTAGCCTTAATTTAGGTCTCATTTTTTCATGAAATATAGTTGAGATTAATTTTTTTTTTATTTTTTTAATGTTTAAACCATGTATTATATTAAGTTTAACAACAGTCCAAAACAAGCCTCCATATGCGTATGCATATGCTTATGCGCAAGAGACATACAAGGTGCACCTAAGACGCATGCCTTTGGGGAGTGTCGGCTAAAAATCAACATCTCAATGTGTTTTGCCTTAGCCTCACCTGGAGGCACGCCTAAATTATGCCCTTTAAAACTTTGAACAGGAGCTCACCATGAGTGAAAAATGGGGAAAAAAAAGAAGATAAAGCTTTGTAGAAGCTAAATTGGCAGTTTATTAATATCATATTAAAGAACGGCTGCCATAGTTGTAGCTTTAAAATGTTCGATAATTATTTAATTTGGGGATGACAAGCTACTGATTTTTAGTTTTAGTCTGAAGTTTGAAATATTCATTCAAATCCAGGGGAGGTGCCCAAGTAGGTTGACCTAAAGCTTGGATGGCAAAACTTCCTTTTCTTTTTTTGTCTTCTTCTTCTCTGAGTTATTCCAAAACAAGAAATGTTTAAAAAATTTCCATTGTTTTTGTTTCCGTTGGCTAATAACATGAATAATGCAAGAGGGAACTATATAAAAATTCTGGAAAGTAGTACAAATTCTGTAAAACTTGAGGGGATGATTTGCATTGAAGAGAAAAAAAACCATATTCTTGGATAAAAATTAAGTCGACTGAACTGGAACAGAAACAGTTGCATGAGCAATGCACACATACAGAGCTGACTAGTCAGTGAAAAATGCAGCTTCTGGTTCTCAGCATTGTGAATTTGATGTTTTGGAATTGTCGGTTGTGAAATTCATGGTTATAGTCTGTAGGTTTGATTATTTTAGTCTTGTTAAGGGGTCTTCATAATTTTTGTCAGTAATATATATTTATTCCCAAACACACATTAATGTACTAATTGGGGCGTTGTTTAAATATATATTTATTCCCACTTTTCTTTTGCTCTATAGGTTGAACTTGAAAGGAAAAAGTGAAGTCTATGCATTGGGATTTTGCTTGGATGATGAATGCTGGAGATTATATGAGCAGAAAGTACATTCTCTGATGCATGAAGGATTGAATGATAGAGCAAAGTTCATCCGTGTTATGTGGAGAAACACTGCTTCAGGATACAATTTGGAAGATGTATGGAATTGATGTGTTGATCTTTGTTTATAATTTTATAGACTGGTTGGATAATATATTAATTTTTTTCATCCCATAATTATAGGGTTTGTCAGTGTTTGATGGAGAGCCATTACTCATTGGGATTTCAGTTAGCACTTTAGAGAAAGCTTTTAGAGTGGTTGACATTGGTCCAAATGCCGAGAATAAAGATGAGGTATTTGACTTTGATATCTGTTTGCATTCCTAGTATGCCTTTTGACGCATGTGCTAATGTAACATGTTTGGCACTAGGCTCTCAAATTCCGGAAGTTTTGGGGAGAGAAGGCGGAGCTTCGGAGATTTAAAGATAGTACTATTGCAGAAAGTGCTGGTAAGGCATCTATTTAAAAATAGCTCCAAAAATCAAAGGTTGCTTGTGTTAAGATGATTAACTTGGCAGCCATGACATCTTGAATTGTAGTTTGGGAATGCAAGCAATGGGAAAGACATCTCATTATAAAGAGGATTTCTGAGCATGTTTTGGTGTGGCATCTTTCCCTGTCAAAAGAAAATATCACGACCATCGTAGATCAACTTGATTTTTCACTTTTTTATGGCGCTGAAGGTAATACCACTTGGCCACCAACAGCTCGTAGTTTTTGTAATGATCTTTTTATTTGCTCTACAATTATTTTGTCCTTGGAATTGTTCATAAATTAACAAAAATGTTTGTTTTCAGATCCTATAGCTTTTTCTGCAAGTTTGGTTGAGGCATTTGATGTTCTATCAAAGCGTTTGCGTCTTCTCGATGACATTCCCCTGAGGGTATCAAGTGTGCAGGCTCTAGACTCAGGTTTCCTTTCTCAGCTAAAAATAGCCAATTCTATATGACTGCGTAGAATCTACAAAAAAATTGTTATCATCTTTTTTCACTGAAATACTGGATAATAGAACGTTTATATTAGCAGGACCCATTTTGACTTGGGTGGTCCTTATGATCAACTTTCTTAACTCGATTGATGGGTTGGCCTGGTTTGTGCACTGGTTCAACTGTCCCATAATGACGATGTGATGCAAACTTGAACATCTTTTGGGTTTTATTAATTTTGGTTTTGTTGAAGAAATTATATTTGCTTGATATATTTGAACATTCTATCCAAAATTGGCTGGTGATGTTTAATCTGCTAAAACTGAATCATTCAACCACTTAGCATGTGGTTGGAACGGCTGCCATAGTTGTAGCTTTAAAATGTTCGATAATTATTTAATTTGGGGATGACAAGCTACTGATTTTTAGATGAAGTTGTATGATTTTACTATTTGGATTTTATTTTTAATCTGTAATAGTTTTTGTGTTACACATAAATTTGATTTTGCTTTTACAAGCACGTGCATGCACACACATATTTTCCGTGAAAATATTTGATACTCACCACCTGTCACAGCTTTCAGGTTCACATCTGTCTTCCCTCCTGAACCCCATCCCCTAGCTGTTGAAAAAGGTGTCAGTCTAAGATTGCAGAAGCTCATTTCGTCCTGCATACAACCTCTGGACGTCATGATCCAGGCATGATAGCTGCTGATCAGACATAATTTCATTAATCATTTCTTCTGACAATTTCTGAAAGTTAAGCTTTTGTTTTGGTATAGTTGGAAGGTTCTGGGAACTGGCCAATGGATGATGCAGCCATTGAGAAGACTAAATCTGCGTTCCTTCTCAAAATTGGGGAAAGGTTGGTTAGGATGAGGTATTTAGATTCAAAAGTAAGAATTGCCTATTTGGGTGACTTAATTATTGATACTACTGTGGCAGTCTCCAGAACAGTTGGGGAATGGCATGTAATGCTACTGAGGATGATGTGGTTGTTTACACATCTGGATATGCATTTCGCCTTAAAATTTTGCATGAAAGAGGCCTTAGCTTGTTGAAAAAACAAAGTAACGAACTCTATCGAACACTATCTTTTTAATTTTGCATCAGCTGGATCTTTGTGGTGTTGTACTCAGTCTTGCCATTTTAATTTGCAGTTGGAAGCAATCAAGTGAAGCGGGTCCCATCTACAGACCGGATCCTTTTTATTCATGGCCAGCATTCTAGCATGATTAATGGTTTACAGGGTCGTTACCCAATTTATGGGCCAGTTGTTCGGTAAGAATTTAAATATCTATTACCCCGTCTCCCCTTCTCCTTTGATTCCCCAACTTTGCATATCATATTTGTTTGTGAAGGCTTGCAAAACGATGGGTTGCTGCACATCTTTTTTCGACTTCATTGGCAGAGGAAGCAATTGAGCTGTTGGTTGCTTATCTTTTTTTGAAGCCATTTCCATTTTATGCTCCTTGTTCTCGGATCATTGGATTTCTAAGGTTGAGTTCCCTGCCCTTTATAATAAATATAAGGCATTTTACTACGACTACATCACTTGCTGTGCTCTTCATACCCTCCGCCTCTTCTTGAATGTTGATTCAGTTCACTCATGGTCTATTGGAGTTGCATGTAGTTTGATTGCTACAATTATAATTTGTAAAAATAATACCTTTTAAAATTGTTTGTTTCCCAAATTCTTTGAGGATGTGTTTGGATCATGGATTTGGATAGAGGAAAGGCTAAGGCTAGGGAAATGGAGAAAAAATTTAGCTTATATTTCATTTTCATTTCCTTCACCTTTTCCTTTACATTTCCAAATCCCTAGCCAAATCCATAATTCAAACACCATTTTAAGGTGTGGTCAATGAGAGGAAATGGAAAGAGGATTTGTACTTAGCAGAGTTAACTTCATCACATTGAATATTCTTAAACTGGAGTCCCACAGCTAAAATGATTATATTAACTTTGAATGGAAGGTGTTAAAAAATAATTGGTGCTTGAAGTGGCAATAGAATTTGCCGTGGTGGTGATGAGACTGGGAGTGGGAGTTGTGGTAGGGTAAATGTCTCAGTGGTAATTAGGTGTTGGTGGCAGTGGCATTGTGGTGTTGCTGGAATAGTGCAGCTTGTGGTGGTTACTACTGTATAGCAAGGTTACATATGGATGTGGCATTTTTACCAAAAGAGAAGCAGCCAGCTCGTAATTGTCAAGGGCACAGTTTAGCCAGGAGGGGTTCAGAGTATCTAGTAACCAAATAATGTTGGTGCAGATATCATTGTCTATATATATATTTTCCAATTTGATTTGTGTGTACTATTAAACTTGCATTCTGTATTTATTTCATCTCCACTGAAGTTCAAACTTCTTATATGCTCTCTTTATTTTGTTGTTTTCATAATCATCAAATTCTTTGGCCTGGGTAGGTTTTGTTTGGTTAGTGTCTGGGAAATCATAGCTGGTTCCTAATTCACGATATCCTTAGGGCTAACAGTTTGCTATTTTTTCTGCAAACCAACTTGATTGACAGGTTTTTAAGATTGCTGTCAGAGTATGACTGGGCATTTTCTGCTTTAATTGTTGACATAAATGGTGACATGACGCTGAATGATGAAAAAGAGGTTAATGTAAGTCCCACAGTTTTGGGTAATTAGACATATGGAGTATTGTCAGTTCCTTTGTATCACTTTGCTTTGTTATAATGTTCCACATTTGAGGGATAATTTGCATTCCCATTTGATAGGGTGATTTTATGTCAAGTAGAAAAGCGCACGACGAAAACAGGCAAAATATAAGCCCAGCCATGTTCTTGGCTACTGCCTATGACAAGGTGTCTGAAGCTTGGACCAGATCGTCACCAACCTCATCAGTGAGTAGCTATCTTGAACTGAATGTGGTTGTATAATCATTGATGGGACAAGGTTAATCTTCTGTGCTGCTATTTCCAATCTAAAACAGTAGTGCCAATTTTTTATGGGTTTTTCATATACCCTCGGACTAATTTATTTGATTTTTTCCCCCGGAAAAACGGAATTATATTGATTTAGGACTCTAAATTTGTCCCATGCATCAACCCTAATCATAAAGGACATTATTTTATCATCTGGTGATGGTAATACCTCAGAAGCATGGACATGTCATGACATGGAAATTTTAAAAAATGTAAGACACGACACATGGTGAACACGTGCAAAATATATAACTTTATATATGTATTATATGTCATATATAAAGATAAATAATAATTATATGTCGTGCATATGAATATTTAACCCAGAGATAATAATTTTAAAGCCTAAAGGAGGAAAATAAATATAGATTTACATTGTTTTTGTTTTGTCATTGGATTCTAAGTTATTTTATTCAAACTTGTAATGTGTTTGTTGTCCCAATTGTTGCATAGTGTTCGACGAGTGTCGGTGTCAGACACAATATGTTACCTTCTTAGAACTGTCTATGCTTCTTAGTGACTTTATTGATGTATGCTTTTCTTAGAAGTCATTGTATCTTAATTTGATATCTGAAGTTTCTCTCATACATTAAGAGTAATGGTAAATATTTTCTTTTCTTCCATCTTAGTGATGCATCTTGTTTACTCAGAAGTATAGTGCAGCCCTATGATTACAGAACATTGTAGCAAATGATTTCCTGAAAGAGGAGGATTGTACCTCTTTCATGAATTTGCTCAATGGAAACTAGTATGTGCTTCTTCAGAAACCATGAGCTTTCATCTGGCTCAATAATTTTTGCATTAGATATGCTAAATAAAATTTTTCTGTGGGTTAACTGCTGATGTGGATACTGTTCGTGTGAAAGGAGCTAAGAAGATTGGTGGCTTATGCAAAAAGCAGTGCAAATTTGTTGGCAAAACTCATCTTGCAGGATCAGCATGATTCTTACAGATGGGAGGTGGGTTGGACACATATTCCACTCAATTCTGGTTTGCAGGTGTTGAATCCTTAATTATTATGGTGTAATTCTTGGCTTTTTGCAGTGCCTTTTCCGAACTCCTTTGAACAATTACAATGCCGTTGTGCTTCTTCACAGGGATAGATTGCCTTACCCGCGTCGTCTTCTCTTCCCATCTGAACTTGACCAGGGTATTTTTTTTCCGTCCTTTTTCCCCCCTCATAATCAATGAGTTTTTCAGTATTGAGATTCTAATAACCTGCGCATTTGGGCAGGGAAGCATGTGGTTCGTGGGAATGTAAGCGAGGTTTTTCACCCCTTCATGTTGCCTAGAGACATGAAAGGGAGCTTAGAGGAACTAAAACATAAGCTGATGGTGAACTTTGATCCACTGAGATGCTTTGTTGGAGATTTGGAGGCAAGTATTACTCAAATGCTTTTACATTTAGGCTATGTTACATGGACTCTTCAAAATAAATCAAATACTTGTGTCGGACAACCGACACTCAGACAAGGGTATGGGATATGAGTAGGATACTTTTCAACGGATATTTCTTGTATAATTGTATATAACACTATTATTATATATACATATTGTTGTATAATTGTTATAAATGTTATTTTGACACTGTAAGTTACATATAAATACCATTTTATCTCACATACTAGATTAAAAATATAAAAATATGACATTTTTTTGCCGAATCCGCATACTCTTAAATTTATGATTTTCGACCTCTAAATACATACCCGCACCCGACACCCATACCCGAGTCCATGTAACATAGCATTTAGGTAATGTTTGGTTTATTGGAATGAAGTGGAATGGAATGATCATTTCATAATGTTCATTCTTACGTTTGGTTCATCAATAAAATGATGAAAATGTGTTGCAATTGGAATTATCATTCTCTACTGTAAAGAAATGGTAATTCCGCAAGGAGATTAAGGAATGACACCATTCCATTCCATTTCAACTCATTCCAAGAAAACAAACACTACCTTAATTGTAGGACTATCCCTCATTGTTGCTGATCCTTAGAGAGGAGCTAAATTTCTCCTGTTGTGTCTGCAGAGAGAGTTCCCTGCCATGTTCAAAATGTGGTATGATTCACTTGGAGGTGATGCTATCGGCTTAACATGGGAGAGATTGGGATCATCAAAGGTACATTAAGATGTTTGCTTATTTTCATGCATGAAATGAGGATGATGTTCAGCAGCTTAGAACTACCTAACCCCTTTATCTGTTTGCTTTTTTGCAGAAACGGGGACGAGGAGAAGTGGGTGAGGATGATCATGATCTGCTTGATGTACTAAAAACTGTTGGCAAGGTCGGGAAAGGGTTTGTGAGGAGTATTTATTTTCTAAAGGCCCCAAGGTTGAGTAATTAAAATTTTCGTTTTCGAAGGCCTTCAAGTTCAGCAAATAGTGAAGGTGATGTTGTAACCTTATTGATTTTCACATCTTATTAAGTCTCGAATTAGTGAAATTATTGCCACATTTTTGTACCCTGTGGCCCCATAATTGAGAGTCCTGGTTTTTTTTTTTTTTTGGAAGAAACATTTTTGTGTTGTTTGTATATAGCAATTTTGTGGGAGTACGAATTTTGAAGTGCTTTTTTGTTCATGAAGCTTTTCTTGATATGACCAAATCTGATTTTGTATGTTGTGCTTAGATGTTGGATTTGAGGAGGGAGTTTGGTGAATTTGACATCAAAATTTTGGTAGGGATGGTGGCAGTGTGAAAATTTATTAATAATATGATTTTTTTTTTTCATATTTTTTCTTTTAATATACATATTATTTTAAGTTTATTTATTTAATTTTTAAATTCAAAATCAAACTCATTTATATAATTGGATTTACTTGAGCCAAACACAAATTTCTTGAATCAAATGCTGAACTGGTAGTCACTGTTTTGTTTTAGTATGAAGGTAGTAGGATTAAACTACCAATCATACATTGTTTTGGAATAATATCATGGGACTAAGATGAATCCCCTCCAAAAGTATTAGCAATCTCGTAAATGGTTGGGTTTCACAGTTCAATTCCATAGGATTATAGTTGAAAATTTCATTATATTTTATATATTGAAGAATTTTATTTAAATTCATAAATTTAATTTCAATTATTTCATATAGTCTTCAAATTACACATAAACAACAAACATAATTTATCTTACATGTTTAATCTTATACCACTAAACTTAGTTTTCTTACTCAATCTCACTGTATTGGACATTGGACATGAGCTAACAATTAGTAGCGAGTTTAATTCGTAGTGAGTTTTCTTCATTGTATCGAGAATGAGTTGAAAACTATTTTAAATTTTTAACTTGAGTTTGAGTTGTGATTTCGATCTCAATTATTGAGTGAGCCAAAAAGCTCAAAACGCCCTAACACTCCGTTTGAGCAGAGAAGTTTGGTAAGAAAAAAAAAAAAAAAAAACACAAAAAAAAAAACACAGATACGGTGAATAAGGGTTGGTTTGGGGTGTCTTAAAAAAGTGTATTTTTTATTTTTTTACGAAAAGATGTGCAAAAAAGTAGAGAGGTGATGTGATGAAAAAAAGATAAAAAGATGAATTATATAGTCTATGCCAAACCAACCCTAAGGAACTTTTTCACCTCATTTGGATGGCTAAATACATTAGAAATGATGAGAAAAGAACTCCCACCAAAATTGTGTTTTCCCAATAAAAATGTAGTAGTAAAAAAATGAGTTTAATGAATTTTTTTTAAAATACAAAAAATTATTTTATAATAAAAAAAATTAAAAATAACTTATTAATATAAAATATTGTTTTAATAAAATAAAATACTTTCTTTCCTTCTATCTTATTTTTTTACCCAAATAAAATAGGTAAAACATAAAAAATCAAATCATAATCATATCATTTCCCGAATTATTATTTTTTCTTTTCCCACCTCAACTCCCGATTAGGGGTATGCGTAATACCGCCAAAACCACTGAAACCACCCCGAGCCGCACTGCCAAGGCAAATTTATTATTATTTGCCAATCGAACCGCCGATTTTTGGTAAAAAAAAATGACAAATTCTAATGACACTTTTATCAATCCGCCGGTTTCTATTTTTCTTCCAAACCACACCGACCCACACCGCTATTAAATCATGTTTTATAAGATTTTAAAAATTCTTTTTTACTTAAGTTTGCTTGTTGTTCTATACCTTAGAATATAGTATGACATTACTGCTTGAGGGGAATTCAAGATGTCAGTAATCCAAAACAAAATTGGATTCCAATTCACTTTTCAAATTTTTTTTTTCTGGCCATGTTACAAACTTGCATCAGCTCACTTTTCAATCTGAATACTTTTCAACAGTAAATATTTTCAATATATTGTAAATCGTGAATGATATTAATTTTGTGTATTGTATTTGATCATTGTACCTTCCACAGATACTTGTGAGGGGAATTCAAGATGTCAGTAATTCAAAATAAAATTGGATTCCAATTCACTTTTTAAATTTTTTTTTTCTGGCCATGTTACAAACTTGCATCAGCTCACTTTTCAATCTGAATACTTTTCAACAGTAAATATTTTCAATATATTGTAAATCGTGAATGATATTAATTTTGTGTATTGTATTTGATCATTGTACCTTCCACAGATACTTGTAATGAACTGATGGCATAGTCGTTGATATTATCATGTTGTTTCTACACTTGCTGCATCAGAAGAAAGTTTTGCAAAATGCTTAACATCACGATATCTTTCGTCTTTTTTTTACTCTTTGATTTAAGTTTTGTAATTTAAATTATATTTTTTATAAACCGCCAATCCACCCAAACCGCCAAGACAAATCCGTCATTATTTGTCAACCAAATCATTGATTTTTGATAAAAAAAATGACAAATTTTAATAACACTTTTAACAATCCGTCACCTAACATACTATTTCTATTTTTCTCTCAAACCGGAACGAGCGGTACCGCGCACAACCCCAGTCCCGATTACGAGTGTAAAATTGAACTAAACTCGGCTTTCGGTAAACAGTGGGCACGCCGGTGTTAGTTGTCTCATCAGAGATCCCGATCTCCCTGGAGCCAACGGAAACCTAAAAAATTTGCTTTGAAAATCGCACAATTCCATTTTATCACATCCACTGATCTGCATCCAAGATTCGATGGGGCTTCTCAGCATCATTCGAAAGATCAAGCGAAAAGAGAAGGAAATGCGAATCCTCATGGTGTATGTATGCTTCATAAATCAATCTCTGTCTCTGTCTCTGTCTCTGTCTCTGTCTCTGTCTCTTTGTACACTGTTATGTATAAATGTTGTGTAATTATGTGTTAATGATGTTGGTTGTTGTTGATGCTGCAGAGGACTTGATAACTCAGGGAAGACGACAATTGTGCTGAAAATCAACGGAGAGGACACCAGCGTTATCAGTCCCACTCTTGGATTCAACATCAAGACCATCGCTTACAACAAGTCTCTGCTTCTCCTTCCTTCCTTCCTTCTTTCTGTCACTCTCACATTTCCATACTTTACATACTCTTTTTGATTTTTGTGTATGTCCCGTTATTACTTGTCGTTGCTGTTTGTTACTAATTTAATGACTTTAGTGTGTATAGTTCTAAGAGGCAATTTGTCAAACATGTAATCTGGATACTAATACTGCTACTGCTACTGCTTGAATTCTGTGATTTTGATAGCTAAAGTCTCCATTACTGATGTTAATCTATTTTTGGTTTCAATTACCTAAATTTCAATGTTTTAAATTTCCCTTTTTTTCCTCATTCTCTCTTAAAAGAGCCTTGGAAGTTTGTTTGTTGTTTTACACTCCATCCATAATTATTTGAAGTTTTAAAAGTCTCGATTACTTTTGTGAATCTATTAGAGCATCTCCAATCCTTAAACTCTTTTTCTTTTTTTTCTTTTTGATAAAAAATATAAAAAATTCAAACTTATCCTAAAAATATGTTAAAACCATTTTTGATGAAAGAAAATCATCTCCAATCCTTACTGTGCGGGAAATGCCACATCGGTCTGTGAGGGACTACTTTCCCACCTTATAAGCAGACTGGCTCCTCTTACCTTGCATAGGCCTTTTCCTCCAGTGGGGGAGGAACAAAACCGTGCAGCGGGTTTCGCCAAACCGGACAGTATGTGCAAGAAACAGGGAGTGGTTGCGTCATTTGTTTTGTTCCTTCCCCACTGGAGGAAAAGGCTTATACAAGGTAAGAGGAGTCAGTCTGCTTATAAGGTGGGAAAGTAGTCCCTCACAGACCGATGTGGCATTTCCCGCACAGTAAGGATTGGAGATGATTTTCTTTCATCAAAAATGGTTTTAACATATTTTTAGGATAAGTTTGAATTTTTTATATTTTTTATCAAAAAGAAAAAAAAGAAAAAGAGTTTAAGGATTGGAGATGCTCTAATAGATTCACAAAAGTAATCGAGACTTTTAAAACTTCAAATAATTATGGATGGAGTGTAAAACAACAAACAAACTTCCAAGGCTCTTTTAAGAGAGAATGAGGAAAAAAAGGGAAATTCAAAATATTGAAATTTAGGTAATTGAAACCAAAAATAGATTAACATCAGTAATGGAGACTTTAGCTATCAAAATCACAGAATTCAAGCAGTAGCAGTAGCAGTATTAGTATCCAGATTACATGTTTGACAAATTGCCTCTTAGAACTATACACACTAAAGTCATTAAATTAGTAACAAACAGCAACGACAAGTAATAACGGGACATACACAAAAATCAAAAAGAGTATGTAAAGTATGGAAATGTGAGAGTGACAGAAAGAAGGAAGGAAGGAAGGAGAAGCAGAGACTTGTTGTAAGCGATGGTCTTGATGTTGAATCCAAGAGTGGGACTGATAACGCTGGTGTCCTCTCCGTTGATTTTCAGCACAATTGTCGTCTTCCCTGAGTTATCAAGTCCTCTGCAGCATCAACAACAACCAACATCATTAACACATAATTACACAACATTTATACATAACAGTGTACAAAGAGACAGAGACAGAGACAGAGACAGAGACAGAGACAGAGACAGAGACAGAGACAGAGACAGAGACAGAGACAGAGACAGAGACAGAGACAGAGACAGAGACAGAGACAGAGACAGAGACAGAGACAGAGACAGAGACAGAGACAGAGACAGAGACAGAGACAGAGACAGAGACAGAGACAGAGACAGAGACAGAGACAGAGACAGAGACAGAGACAGAGACAGAGACAGAGACAGAGACAGAGACAGAGACAGAGACAGAGACAGAGACAGAGACAGAGACAGAGACAGAGACAGAGACAGAGACAGAGACAGAGACAGAGACAGAGACAGAGACAGAGACAGAGACAGAGACAGAGACAGAGACAGAGACAGAGACAGAGACAGAGACAGAGACAGAGACAGAGACAGAGACAGAGACAGAGACAGAGACAGAGATTGATTTATGAAGCATACATACACCATGAGGATTCGCATTTCCTTCTCTTTTCGCTTGATCTTTCGAATGATGCTGAGAAGCCCCATCGAATCTTGGATGCAGATCAGTGGATGTGATAAAATGGAATTGTGCGATTTTCAAAGCAAATTTTTTAGGTTTCCGTTGGCTCCAGGGAGATCGGGATCTCTGATGAGACAACTAACACCGGCGTGCCCACTGTTTACCGAAAGCCGAGTTTAGTTCAATTTTACACTCGTAATCGGGACTGGGGGTGTGCGCGGTACCGCTCGTTCCGGCGGTTGGAGAGAAAAATAGAAATAGTATGTTAGGTGACGGATTGTTAAAAGTGTTATTAAAATTTGTCATTTTTTTTATCAAAAATCAATGATTTGGTTGACAAATAATGACGGATTTGTCTTGGCGGTTTGGGTGGATTGGCGGTTTATAAAAAATATAATTTAAATTACAAAACTTAAATCAAAGAGTAAAAAAAAGACGAAAGATATCGTGATGTTAAGCATTTTGCAAAACTTTCTTCTGATGCAGCAAGTGTAGAAACAACATGATAATATCAACGACTATGCCATCAGTTCATTACAAGCATCTGTGGAAGCTACAATGATCAAATACAATACATAAAATTAATATCAT